AAATTAATTAAATGTACAGCATTTACAAACACAAAATTAAAATACAACAAAGTCTCTTAATTTTATAGGACGTTTCTTCTTTCGTACTGGTCTCCATCTCATTTGCTTCTGCTTCACGTGGGGCTCATCTGCTCCATCAGGAAATGTCCCATTATCCTGGACCGTGATAATGCCAAAGCCTGTTGACATGCACCACCTTTGGCTTACCTCGCTGACCACATTTTATTTGGAAAGTCACGTCTGAGAGACAATCCACAATGTCATATGGGCCTTCCCATGGAGAAGACAATATAGGATACTTCCCTTTGGTCTTCCTGGGATTATACAACCACACCTTCTCTCCTGGTACAAAGCTGCTTCAGTAGATTTCTTATCATAACATAGCTTCATGGAATCAGAAGACGTTTTTAAGTTTAAATGCATATGATGATGAATATCATCCATTCTTTCAGATAACACTTTCACGAACTCTGGCACCTTTTCAGGCATCTCTTCGTAAGGTGGGCGTCCTGTTATCAGGTCCACTGGCAACCGAAGTTCCCAACCAAACATCAGCTTTGCTGGAGTGTATCCAGTGGTTTCATGCTATGCTGTTCTATAGGCCATCAGCAGTGGAGGGAGTAAGACATTCCAATCATCTTGGCGGCTATTACAAAACCTTGCCAATTCCTGTCCCAGTGTCCAATTGTACTTTTCTACCATCCCATCAGTCTGTGGGTGAAGTGGCATTGTCCTGGTTATTTGTATGCCAAACAACTTGCAGCATTCATGGAACACAGCTGATTCAAAGTTATGGCTTGATCTGAATGCAGTTCGTATATGGCATACCAAACCTGAAGAAGAAATCACTAATAGCCCAAGCTACAGTTGTAGCTTCCTGATTTGGTATTGCATATGCCTCTCGCAACTTGGTGAAATAATCCATCACCACACAAATGTACCTGTTTCCAGCGCGAGTTTGGGGCAACAGACCAACAATGTCAATGGCTACTCCATTGGTGCACCAACTTGATATAACTTAATTGGAGCACATTTCTTATGCTTGGGTCCCCTTTTAGCTCAACATGTACTGCAGGTCCTGCACCATTCTTCCACATCTTGCCTCATACCTATCCAGTAAAATCTCTGCTGTAGGTGACTCAATGTCTTCTTAACTCTAACATGTTCTCCTGTTAAACTATCATGGGATTGACGCAGCACAACTTCCATAACTTTCTCGGTATAACTGTTTGCCAGGTCGTCACTTTCCCATCTCTGGAGAAGAATACCATCTTCAAGCTTCAACTGGACCCATTGTGCCCAATAGAGGCAGAGGGCTTAGACTAGACACCTTCTCCCAAGCAGGGTGCAAAACACTTGCTTTTAGAAAATCAATTATTGGCTCAAATCTTAGTTTTTCTCCTGCTCTGCTTTAATATCTATACCCGGTTCCATTTCACCATCATCAACTCCTTCAGTCACTTTGACTTCAGCTTGATGGCACCTGGTTAGTTCAAGCTCTTTTTTTGCAGCAATGTCTGCAGTCATTTTTGCAGGGTCTTCGGCTCAGTCCATCAGCATTTCCATGATATTTTCCTTCTCTATATTCAATATCATAATTATACTGGTCTATTTTTTCAATCCTGGCACCATAGAGGTAAGGATGGCAATATGTCAGACTCTTTACTATAGCAAGGGGTTCCCTCTGTGTTACACAGTAGTTCCTTTCTAGTCTACTCAAAACCCTACTGAGGTAGGCCACCACATATTCATTTTCACCCACTTTCTGAGACAACACTCCTCCAATTCCGAAATTACTAGCATCACAATCCAGTATGTACGACAGTGAGGGATGTGGGAGCCTTAAAAGTGGAGCTGAGGTTAATTTTTTTCAATGGCTTCAAAGCATGCTGGCCATTCGAACTTCTGGCTTTTTTCGTCAAATCATGTAGTGGAGCAGCTATAGTTGCAAAGTCCTTCACAAACTTCCGGTGATAGGCATAGAGTCCCAAGAATCTTCTTAACTCTCCCACATTGTCTGGTGTTGGCCAATCATGC